AGGGGTTTTGTGGCTCAGGAAAGAGCTTAGAGCCTTGCCAGAGGTGCTATGTGGGTATTGTGCACATGGCATGTGCAACGTGTGTGTATGGTCACGTGGTGAAGGCAGGGTGCAAGATCTCCATGGGTGGTGGCCATGCCAGAGGCAGCTAAATCTCCTTTTCAGCATCTTAGAACCCTCCTTTCTAATTCAGCCAGGAACTGTTGTTGGTCAGCTATTTAAAGAAAGGAAAGAATTTAAAGTGGAGAATTGTGAAGACATGGGGTGGAGGACAGAGAGAAAGACAGAGATGTGACCCTTACATTTTTAAACTTAGAATATATGTAAATCTATGTATTCATGTACACACACACTAAGAAATTTCTTTGACATCGCTGCCGTTGCCAATCTATGATGTATTTTTTAAACCTGGACCACCTCCATAGTGCATTTTTAGTTTCTACTTTTTCAATGAAGTAGAAAAAGAAGTTGAAAGACAGTGCTGAGCAGCGATTCATTATTTCATTCCATTATTTATTTTGTGGTTGTCTCTCTCACACCTAAAACTTTAAAACTGTTGTGGATATGTATTTCACAAAAATCACTTTATAACCATTCTTTATGCAGTTTGGTGACATCAAGTGTATTCACGGTGCCGAGGGGCTATCAGCACTGTCCATCTCCAGAAGTTTTTTCATCCCAACTGGGAATTCTGTACCTGTTCAACAGTGCCCCATTGCCCTCTCCTTCCAGCCCCTAGCCACCTCTCTTCTCTGTTTGTCTCTGTGGGTTCTGCTTGTCCTGGGTTCTCATGTGAGCAAAACCATTCAGTACCTGTCCTTCTGTGTCCAGTTTGTACGACTTGGTATAGTCCTCTGGCTTCCTCCGTGCTAAGGTGTGTGTCCATATTCCCTTTCTTTTTATAGCTGTATTTTACTGTATGTAATACTGCCTTCAGCTTGTCCGTTCACCTGTCCTTTGGGTTTCCCCCTCACCCTTTTGCTGCCATGCAGAGAATATTGGTGTAGCCATACCTGAGCGTCTGCTCTCATTCTCTGGGGTGATGCCCAGGAGTGGAGTTGCTAGATCACATGGTAACTTTGTTTACTCTTTTGAGGAATGGCCAAACTTCTCCAGAAGACTTTTTTTTCATATAGAAGCTTGTCTTTTGACTTTCCAAGACATTCTGGTCATTTTCACCGAAGCTGCAGCTCTTTTCTGTGGTCCTGTGTGATATAATCAGTTTGAATCGTTTAACTCCCATAATTGCAGTAATATATCCAAGTGTCACAAGCAAGTTTAGAGACATACATTTGGTATTTGCTAAGCCCGCAAATCCCGTGGGAGGACCTGAAGAGCAGCTTCCCAGCAATGAGCCCCAGGTCACTGTGGGCAGGGGCCAGTATATAACACAGAGGGAAAACACTGGGTAGTGGGACCAGTGAGGGCCAGCCAAGGGGATAGGCCAGTGAGGAGAGTGCCTGCAGTTCAACACACTGAGCTTAGTCATGGTAGGATTTGTAAAGAAATTCAGAAACAAGCGACTGAGGATCTAGCAAAAGACCACCACCTATGCATGACTGTTAGCATTTACACCGTTGTTATTTGGAGACGAAGAGGGGCAGACTCCACAGGGTAAAATAGAAGGGGAAGGTGACTGAGCCGGTCACCTTTTGTATAAATTCTGAATTTAAGAAAAGACGAATGAGCATTGCTAGAAGTTGATTACCATCGCTTCTCGGCCTTTTGGCTAAGATCAAGTGTAGAAGTTGATTACCATGCCTTCTTCACCCTCGGTTTTGTGTTTGTTTGTTTGTTTGTTTGTTTTGATACCAGGGATCAAACTCAGGCCCTTGCATTTGTGAGGCAGGTGCCAGAACCACTGAGCTAAATCCCTGTCCCTTCACTCTGGTTTAAGTGGTTTAGTGTAGTGATAAATGGCACATAAGCAGGGACATGTATCTTCATCCATCCTTGTTAGCTACCGAGATGGTGAAAGGTTTGGAAATGGCCTCTCAAAATGTGGTCTAAAGGAACTGGGTTGATTTTGCCTAGAGAGAGAAGTTGAGAACTCTGAGTGGGACTTAATAATAGTGTCCAGGAATCTGAGGGACTCTCTGAGGGATGGAAAGCAGCTGTTTCTTGTCCTGCGAAGGGCTAGAGGAGAGGCGTCATGAGCAACAAGTGGGCTGAAGAACTTGTCCATAAAGCTCAAGATAGTGGACTAGCAAGTCCAGGTCACTTCTCTGTTTCAGAATTACACAGTTTACTGTGCTTTTTGGGTGATTTATATGTTCTTGAATGTCAAACTACTAAAAATTAGGGGAAAAAAAGGAGAAAAGGAAATCGAGAGGACCTTTTACCCACGTAAGAGCCGAGGTTCCCATTGTGGAAGCTCCCAGAGCTGTGTGTTTAGGGAAGCCCTTTCCCCTCAGGCTTCTAGTGAGATTTAAAGCAAGAAAGCTCCAGAGCCTCTTTTGTACCCTTTCTTTTCTTTTCGGTACCGGGAATCAAACTCAGACCTTTATGCTTGCAAGGCAAGTGCTGGAACCACTGAGCTAAATTCCTGGCCCCCCTTTCTTTTCTTTATAAAGCAAGGTAAACCACATTTACCCCTTCTCTGTCATGAAAAGAATTTGTGTAAACTTGCTAGTCTTCATTTCTTTTGTTCATTTGGTCAAATGGTCATAATTTATTTATTTTTAAAAAATTTTGTGTCTTTAGAGCCTAATATCATACAAGTGTAGACATGTACATACATGTATCATAACTATAGACATTTGACATATGACATAAATTTAACATATAATTTGCATGCTATAAACTATGCCATAAATTATTATGTGATATACTAAATTTATATATAATTAATTCAGAAGTGAAGGTGATGTTTTATTCTAGGTAGTGTATCTAAGTCTTAGCTACATGATGGATATTATGTACAGGGGCTCAGCAAATATGTAAAGGATTGTATGATAATCCATTGCTGTAGGTAGTCAACTAAAAGAAGAATCTAGAGAGAGAAAAGTGAGCTCTGTGTATGTTAGTAAGTTTTAGCCAGTGAGGCCTAAGGGGATGTCTGAAAACTCCTTCTCAACCATTGTTTTCATCATCCTTATCCCATATTAGGTTAATTATGCCATTTATTTTGAATTGGATAAGTGATGTCACATTTGCCCATCTGGGAGTTATCTTGGAGACAAACTTGCGTTCTTAGAGCATTGTCCCCTGTTGAGCTCTGCTTCGAGAGTTACGTCGACATTTTAGCATCGACTGCATTTATATCCCACCAGGTTATGCTTTCATCTTCTACCCTCATTGACTCCAGTCTTATTTATAGACCTTGGCTGTTGCTCTGGAATGTCTTTTGCCCCGGAAAGGGGCTCAGGGTGAATCGTGACCCAGCTCCAGCTCTCATAACTGTTTTTGGCCTGCAGAATCCAGCAGTACATTGGGAAGCTGGATTGGGAGGCCTGAATCCTCCCCGCACCTGTTCGTTCACAGTGAGGTGCTGGCCAGTTGCCCCACCTCTCTGAGTTCTGTTCCCCTCATCCACCTTACAGGAACATCACGAGGATTACACTGAGTGAAATCATGCGTGGCGAGCCCAGAGCCCGTTGTTCCCGTTTGCTTTTGTCACAAAGAGGTGCTCTTGCTGTGGAGGGTCACGTCGCCATTGCCGCTAGACACTTTCCAGTTAGTGGGTTTCACTGGATCACAGGGAGGTCTGTAGCATGGGGTTTGTATCAAAGTTAGGAGAGTACCCCAGTGTTCAAATGTATGAATCTCTTCCCTTTTCTATACTTTCTTATTCCAGAAAAATAAAAGCCTACTTATAAGGCTAAATATTCCAGAAAGTGCTTGTTGCCAAATTACCTGACCCAAATTGTGTACACACGCTGAAGGAAAGTACATTTTGAAACCAGAGGGAAGACTACACATTTTCACTCTGTAAGATTGAAAGGAGAGTTAGAAAATGTTCTTGGCATTCTGACAGTCCTTTAAGGGACACTGGTGTGCTGCGCTCCGAATGATGTCAAACTGAAGACATGACATCTGACCTCAAGAAGGTTATGGCTTTGGGAAGACTAAATCCATAGCGTGAGATGATGGAGACTTCGAGTACTCTGCAAGGCCCTGAGAATGAGCAGAGGCCAGCTACAGAGTTGGGCTCCTAGCTCTGGGAGACACAGGGTGGGCCCTTAGTTCATAGAACCCTATCGTTTCAAGACAGCAGTGTCAAAAACTGCCTCGAGTATTTATTTCCCATAGAAACCCAAGAATGCTGCTGCAGTTTCTCTGTACTTATTTGAAGCAAAGATGTTTTCCTGGAGTCTCGGGTCCCAGGGTGATTTACTTTCAGATTGTCTTCTCCACGCTAAGCCAAATTGTTCCTCCCCAAGTTCATCCTTGGACTGCAAGATGTGGAATATCTTTATAAACCAGAGCAAGTCACACCGAGGGTCAGAATCCCAGCTAGAGCCTCACTTCCAAAGTGGAGGCATGACACATTTTAATACAAGTGGATTTAGGTATCAAAGGTTAGATGTTTTTCTCGTTATTAGAAGACTTGCACTTCAGGGACTTTGGAGGATGAGAGTGGGTCCTTTGAACTGGACCCCTCCTCCTATCCTTCCTTGTCCCTCAGCCCCATAAATAAAAGAGACAGGCAGAACAACAGAACCATTAACTTAATAGCATAGGATTTATGGCAGCTGAAATCTTGCAAAGCTTATGTCAGTGAAATAAAATAATTACTGTCACTTTCTTTTAGACACTTGGCTTTGTGGTTTGTGTTGCCTTTGTCATAACAGGCAGCTGATTCAGTAGCTCTGGTTTTCATGGCAGATGGCCGGGGCTTACGTTTTGTGCATGTGGCCATGCTGTTGAGATGGCAATGGGTGAATAGACCAGAGCGAAGTTAAATTTAGATAGAGGGTTCCCTGAGATAATGTTAATGATCTGAGCTGTTGTGTTGTCAGTATGCCGATGGAACCTTTTCTTTTGCTCTTTTCCCTTAGATTCTCAAATCCAAAGATTTAACCTCTCCAAACCAGCGCTACATTGACAGCAAAGTTGTGAAAACAAGAGCGGAAGGCGAGTGGCTGTCCTTCGATGTGACAGATGCTGTCCACGAGTGGCTTCACCATAAAGGTTGGGGACCTCTCTCCTCTCCCTGGTGTTCAGTGGCCCTCGGTTATTATAAACTGATTACAGATTGAGAGGCGTAGACACACATGTAGATGACCTTCTTGATTTGATGTTTTCCAGACAGGAACCTTGGATTTAAAATAAGTTTACACTGTCCCTGCTGCACCTTTGTGCCATCTAATAATTACATCATACCCAATAAAAGTGAAGAGCTAGAAGCAAGATTTGCAGGTAAGTGAATCTCTGGTCTTCTGAGACATAAGAGGGCTTCTTTTGTGATTTCATGGGGGATAGAGTCAGTTTGCAGGTGATAGACTGATGACCCATGGGGAGCTTCACATATGTGGGTGGTGATGTGGTTGGAGAGAGCCAGGCGCAGCAGAAAGGATTAGAAGAAAAGGATTGGTTCTCAGTTTCCAAGGCTCAGTGCCCAGTGATGGAGTGGCCAGTGTGACTGACTGTTTCATTAACCCCTCAGACGATTAAAATAGTCATCTAAGCCCTTTACTCTTCACTGAAGCAAGGCAAGTTTTTACTTTTATGTTGCAGCAGTAGATAGCATGCATTCAAGGAAATCTGTTGATAATTCCCCAAGCCAAATGTTTGGAGCAGACAACTCTATTTCACCCAAGGAAGAGTCCTGGAACACTGGTTTCCATAACTCATCTTCCATGTATTGACACCCCATACCTTTTCTGACCCAGCATTTCCAGTGCCTTCCTTGCCAGAACTTTACAACACGTGTAACAAGGTTTTGGGTTTCCCCATGCACACTCTGAGTGGATGAGCCACAAGTGCGACAGAATGAAGAGATGTGAGGAATTGAGTCACTGTGTACTGGACAGTGAGTCACTAGGCGAGGAGAGCAGGAAAGAGTGTGTGGCAGCACCTGCCTGTACTTCCAGGCCAGGGAGCTGATTTCTCTCCCCTTCTAACATCATCCGGGAACTCCGTCCACTTTTAGAAGGCCACTGTGTCCCTTGCTCATGGAAAAATACTCCCCGAGATCTAGAGATTTATTTCAGTCTCTAACCCAGCCACGATTTTCTTGAGCGTGGAGATTAAATGCTTAAGCTGGCAGTCTCCCAAGCATGATTTGGGCAGCTCAAGTTTCTAAATCTCAGGTGGAATCAGGAAAGTGTTGCGGATGCCATAAAATAAATGAAAAAGCCCTTTCTTCACAGTTTCCCAGAATAGCGTTAGGTAAGGGTGACTTCTTCTTCACTTGAACCCAATTCAGTGCCGTTTAGCTGAGTCTCAGGTGATGCTGGCGAGCAGAGTCTTCTGTGTCTAGGTGTCCTGGGAAAAGTGCGACCGAGGGCAACAAGGAGGGCTGTGTGGCTGTGTGCTCAGGTGGCAGAGGCCTGAACACAGGCCACCCTGAGCTGTGGCTCAGGCCCTCAGGCCAGCTCTCACAGGCTTCTTTTGAGGGACTCTGGAAGCTACAGTCCTGCCTTTGATGCTGAACCCCCTTCCCACAAGAGCCCCATTTAGAAGTGTTCATCATCACCCGTGGTCATCCTATTCTTCTCTGTCCCCTTGGGGGAATGGCAATAGCCAGGCCATGGTGGTCATCACTGCTACTTGTGACAATATGCAAAAGAAAAAAGAATATATAGCTGATGATGTGTGATGAAGGTAAAGCTAAATGTTTATTACCCAAATGCATTTTTTTAAGGTATTGATGGCACCTCCACATATACCAGTGGTGATCAGAAAACTATAAAGTCCACTAGGAAAACAAACAGTGGGAAGACCCCACATCTCCTGCTAATGTTATTGCCCTCCTACAGACTTGAGTCACCACCGTCTAACCGGCGGAAGAAGCGTGCTTTGGATGCAGCTTATTGCTTTAGGTAAAGAAATGAAAATAAAACCGAGTGATTGCATCTGCTAACCCTTGTTCTGCCTTTGCTTTCTTCTCCCTCGCAGCAACCTGAAGGTTCTCACTCGTGAAGGCCAGGCGTAGGACAGTGTAGCTCCCTTGTGGTATTCATCGACTCCTTAGAAAGAACCAGGTGTGAAGGGAAAAGTCAGCCTCCAAATTTCTGTCCCTAAACCTTCTAAGGAGCTTTGGTATTGAAGAAGAAAAAAGAGCTCTCTGCTCTCCAGAGCAAACGTGAGCTCATTCAGCCCTTCCCCATCTGTACGGAGCCCTCTCTTCAGAGTGCTGGTGCCAGGCCCTTTCACAGTGAAGGAGATGAGAGAGCAGCAGAGAGCCACCTGTCCCATTTTAGCTTCTGATGGAAGTGAAGGACAGGGAGAATTCCTGTGTGCGTGCTCTTCATGGTTTCTTATAAGATGCGGTGAGAAAAGGGCTCTAATTTGTTTTTTTTTTTTTGTTTTTTTTTTTTTTGCTTTACTGGATTTTGAACCCAGGGTCTTTACACTGAGCTACATCCTTCGTTTGGTTCCATTTTATTTATTTATCTTGAGACAGAGTCTCACGAGATTGCTAATTTGTCCAGGCTGGGCTTGAACTTGTACTCCTCCTGCCTCAGCCTCTCAGAGTTCCATGATTACGAGTGTGTGGTCCCATACGCAGTAACAGTCATGAGGCAGTGCGGGGCCCTCTGTGGTAAAAGTGCTCAGCACATCCCAAGCCACAGCAGAGTGGTGTCTTTTGGTTGCTGACATCAGTGATCATGCTTAGCAAGATTCCGTTTCTCTTCCTGTCCACTTCCTCCCTACACTGAGGAATGTGTGGTTGAACAGAACATGTTGTCTCAGAGGAGAAGCTTCTGATGGCTTTTAGGTCATAGGTGATGCTTTTCTTTCATTGTGATGTGAAAGGGCAAGTAAGGCTAGGTGCCAGGACAGCCTGGGCTTGGCCAGCTGACCAGTTGGTTCGTTGCTTGTTCCGTTGGTTCATTGGGTGGTTGTCTCTCCCAGCCACTCCCTGCTTCTGTCTCATCACTTGAGGCCAAAGGTTTGCTTTCTAGGCCACAGGCAGGGAGTCGGGGTGCATGCTCCCCTGTGGGGCGTGGTCCACCGAATGCCAGCACATCCCCCCATGCAAGTCGCTTGAGACTGCAGAGAAACGTAGCCCATGCTCGCTGCTCGTCAGATGTTTGCTGAACAAATGAATGAGTCATTTTTCTGGTTTGGAGTGAGGTGAGTGGGAAATCTACTTTAAAATCTGCCTTGATCTTCCTTTCCACAGAAATGTGCAGGACAATTGCTGCCTGCGTCCACTTTACATTGATTTCAAGAGGGATCTTGGGTGGAAATGGATTCATGAACCCAAAGGCTACAATGCTAACTTCTGTGCCGGGGCCTGTCCGTATCTGTGGAGCTCTGACACTCAGCACAGCAGGGTGAGTACTGGTAACTTGCTCCTGTCTTCCGGGGGGCAAAGAGCTGTGCCTGCCCAGTCTCTAAGGGAGCAGTAATGCCCTGGGCCTTCACTGTCACCAGGCAAGTGTGCAGAGGGAGCCACGAACGAAGGGAAAGCACAGGCAGTGGGTGAAATCGACAAGAACCTGATGTGTTTCAAACACTAGGTCCCCCTTCCCAACAAGGCTGTGAGCAACTTGGAGGAAACTTTACTGATTTGTTCTTTTGTTTTATATTCTTAATGAAAATAAGCATACATAGCTGGAAAAGGCAGCTCTTTCTGAATAAACACATTACATAGTGTCAGGTATAAAGGAGGTGGAAAGGGACTCAGGTCTCCAGCCAAAGAAAGGGATCTTATCACCTCCACCAGGGACTGTGGGTTAGAAAGAACAGTGGGGAAACCATGTAATGCTGTAGCGTGGTGACCAACGTCTGATAATGAGAACAGCCTTTAACCTCTCAATCTCAATTTCTTATCATTAGAAAAGAAGGTCTATTTTAAAAGTGTTCTTTAAAATAATGCTGAACTCAAACTTGTTGTGAGGTAGGAAAATACTAAATAGGTGAAAATGATTTGAAAATTAGTATCTCTCAGCCTCTCAGAGCATAAGCCAAAGTAATGAAGAACATGAGTATTTGACCCAGTCACTTCCCTGAGGACCAAGGGCTGACTGGGAAGGCCGGGCCAGGACTGGATGCCGTGGGTTTCCCGACCACATCAGCAAGGCCTTTGTCTAATAAGGATATTTGTCCATTTGTGTCCTCCTGACACCCCCTGATGCAGGATTTTAGAGATGGAAAGGACTCTATAAGTCATCTTTCCTGAACATTTCATTTTTCTAAAGAAACCAGGCCCTGGATGATTTGCCTGAGACCAGCAGCAGGTTATTGACCGACCCAGGCTTGGAACGCAGCCCTCCTTGTTTCACAAGCAGGCCTCCCTTTGCTCTGTCCTGCAGAGTTTAATCCCTAAAATGTGGCTACACGGGGAGGATTTCTCCTGTGCTCTTATGCCTCTGTAAATCTCCCCATTAAAAGGCATTAGGAAGATTGCCTTCACGGCAGGGTAGGAAAACGAGTCTGCTGCCAAAATGCTCGCATAAGGCTTTGCATTGAACGAGGGAGTTTGGAGGTTATCAATTATCCTGGACAATCTATATTATAAAAGTGCCTCTTTAGTGCCTATGAGAAATCACGTGTGAGTGGAACCGGAAGTCTATTTATTTATGAATGCCCACGCAGGCTGGAGCGAGGATTGATAATTACGGCTCCCCTCTCCAGCTGTTTCTGCCTCCCCCAGGCTGTGGCCCTCTGGGTGTCACGTGCTTGGCCGTGTGAGTGAGGCCCGTGGTGCCTGTCCCTTTGTCCAAGCTCTGGCCAGGCTGCTCCATCTGGGCTGCGGCAGCAGTAGCTGTAATGTGGGCCAGGCCCTGCTGCCAAGGAGAAACCTAATTCTCCTCCTGATGCACAGAAGGAGTGTGTGAAGGCTGAGACCAGGCTTGTTTTTCAAGGAGAGAGGAAGAGTAACTGTCATGGTCACAAAAATGTGGTTTGGACAGTTACCCAAGAAGCCAGGGGAGCTAATAAAGTAGTCAGTGTTACAGCGCTGAACGGATCTTCTGTCTTAGGCTGAAAAAAATCGCAGTGGATCTCGAGGAAAAGGTCACTTGCTGTTTGAATAACACATTAATGGCATCCTTGGAAATGTGTGTGTCATCGCGGGGAACCTCCATGCATCCAAAAGTCACACACCCCTGTGATAGCCAGTGTGAGCAACGGGCCAGGCACAGTACCTGCTGTCCTGCCACTGTTTCTCCACTCCTCCACCAGCCTGGCCTGCCTACCACAGGGACGGTTCGGGGCGTGTTGATGGTTATGTCCTTCGCTGTAAGCAAAAAAGAAGAAAGTGAATAATTGTGAATGTAGATCACTTCCCATGTCAGCCTGAGCATCACTGATGTTATAGAGCAATAGTAAATGGAAGCACTTTTTTTTAATGAAAACTTAGGTAACATTAAATAGGCCTGAGAAGACACATAACATAAAGAGGTTGACATGGCAGACGGGGTAAGTAACCTCTCTGCTCAAGTGTAGGTTAAAGTTCCAATGAGAGCCTGCAGACGCACCTGTTCCAGTTAACCTTGTGTTCATTTTTTCCTCAAGCACATGCATCTCATTTGGTCCAAAGAAGACTTATGGGCTACGAGGTACACACACACTCCCAACTGTGCGTGAGCTCTTAATCCACTTAAGAATTTTAAAAAAATACACACACACTCACACACACACACGAAGCAACTTTAGTCACAGGGTAGTGTAGAAATAAGACCAAATCCTAAGAAGCTTGGGAAAAGTGTGCCTCAAAGTAGTGGCTAGAGTCAACTTCTGGAAAGGTTAGGAAAATGTACAGCATGAACAGTTTTCTCCAATGTGAGTTCTGTAAAGTCATTTGTGTACAGTGTATATAAGAAGGGTTTTGTGAGGAAAGGGTGAATCTGGTGATAGCTAAAGACACATACCAATCTGATTATCATTTAGAGTTAAGAAAAAAATAATGACCAAACATAATTCACATTGCCCACTGAGCTCCGTGGCTGGTGACAGCAGGAAGTGGTCCTTTGAAAACTAATCCATCACTCATGTCTTCTGCCCTCCTTTCCCAACGCTGCCTCATCGCCAGGTCCTCAGTTTATATAACACCATAAACCCAGAGGCGTCTGCATCTCCGTGCTGTGTGTCCCAGGATCTGGAGCCGCTCACCATCCTCTACTACATCGGCAAAACCCCCAAGATCGAGCAGCTCTCCAACATGATCGTCAAGTCCTGCAAATGCAGCTAAGGGTCTCAGAACAGAGGCAAAACAAAAATCGCAAAAAATGACGACGTGACAAGAAAACATTAGTGAACCTTGGTTCCTCCGTGTTCAGGAGTATGAGAAAAGCGGTACTAGTTCCAATACTTTGGAAGTGTGTGTTCTGTTTGTTAAAACTGGCAACTGAAACAAAAAAAGGAAAAGAGAAGGCCTTATTCTACATTTCACCTACTCTATAAGTGAGAGACAAGAAGCAAAATCTTTTTTATTTTAAAGGAAAAAAATAAACACTGGAAGAATTCTTTAGTGTTATGTGAAAGAAAAAAAAAAAAAAGCAAGCCAGGAGAATCCCGTTCAGTGGAGTCACTGTCCTCCCATCCCCTCCCGTGCCACTCTCGCTCTGTCATGCGGTGCAGTAGGCACCAGCCCATCCTCCTCCGAGATTTAACAGCAAGTTATTTATTGTGTGTTGCTATATAATGAACGTTTCGTTGCCCTTGGAAAATACAACAGGTGTATAAAGTGGAGACCAAGTCCTTTGCCAGAGACTCATGGATGGTTTACGGAGACGAGAACTCAAACGAGCCAGAAGAAAAGAGGTCGTTAAAGGGGTGAAAAGCCCCGTGAGTTGTTGTCTGCCCGAGCAAGTCTGCCGTAAGACAAAGACCGGAAAGCACATGCTATGTACCGACTGCTTGAGGAAGATGTACGTAGGGTTCAAACACTAAAAAACCTGTTAATGAGAGCAATTCTCAGCCAGAATAAGTCTGTAAGATTTTTTTCCTTTTAATTGTATATGGTTCTTCTTCAGCTTGATAAACTAGTGAAATGGTGAGATGTCTTGACACGTACTGGTCAGACTGCAGACCTTAAAGTATTGCTGTATAGCCATGCCACAGGTTTTTTCCCTCTGTTTTGGTGTATGTAGCCCTACCTGTATTATTGAAATAGATGGGTGTAGAAGCCAGCGCAATTGAAAACACATCTGCAGATCTCCTTTGCAAACTATTAAATCGAAACATTAACTACTTCACATGTAATGTGTAAATTCTTACCATGTTTTTATATTCTGTAATAGTGTCAACTATGATTTAGATTGGACTTAAATTTGAACTCTTTTTAATTATCACTCACAATTAACTGTATGTTTCCTTTAGCTGGCCAGTATTTTCAGTAAAGCCCCTAGATTTTACCTTGTACCACAAAGATATTTTATAATAAGATTTGCTCTTCTGTTCTTTGTGTATTGTCCATTTCTGTCACACGAGCTACCTGTGTCTGTCTTTTTTTTCTTTTACAAAAAGAATAGATTGGAATTTGGTGGTCTTCCTTCATCTTTTGATCATCATTACTAATCAAGTCAAATGTTGAAAAATGTCTATAGTAGGAAAATGGGAACTGCTATGGAAACATAGGGGGAAATCTTCTAATTTTCACAAGAATCTAAGGATCTGAACTCAGAATCCTGGTGGCTGAGTTAACATGGCTTAGTTAGTATTTTTGCGGAATTTTATTGTTATTAAAAGGCAACTAGTTGAGGAAATATCTTTCCCTGTAGTCAGTTTTTTAGTGTTCAGGGGGAGATGGAAGGTTGCCTCTTTTAGTTACTTTTTGTAAAGGATGAAAAAATCCAGTTCACCCTTAGTCATTTCACCTACTTCACTGAAGTTAAGCCTTTTGATAGATGTTCTTGAGAGGTTGGAAAGGCACAAGCCAAATTCTCCCAGGATCAAAATATTCTCTTCCCCAAGTGTGAGTTATCTACAACTGGGGCTACAGTTTACTTGGCTTACAGAAATGACTTGTCACATCATTTCGGAAGGGGTACCTCACGTCTGGGTTCCTAGCATACATTTGTCACTTATTTAGCTTTCAGATAAAAATTCATAGGCAGATCAGTGCAATAGGTACAGTTTCACCTAAGGGCAGCAAAGCAAGACAGGAACGGGATACTTTCCTGCCCATCATTGAGATGAAGATTGGATTTGCAAGTTTGAAAACTGGAAAAGCAGGCTCTAGAGAGGATGCCACAATAGTGAACAGCTCTTACATCAGGTGTAACCCAATCCCAGACTGAGTGTGTCGCGTTTTCTCTCTTCCGCTCTTCTGTTAATTCTGTGTAAATCACTTTTATTTCTGCAGGTGTTTTCCTCTTAGATAAAATGACATTTTGTTTCGTATTATTTGTCTTTCCTTATGAATGCACTGATAATATTTTAAATGCTCTATTTTAAGATCTCCTGAATCTTTTTGTTTTTAATTGGGGGGGGGAGGGTTCTACAGGGTCTTTATTTCCCATCAATAAATGTTGCCATGGGAGGGGAGGGTGGTGGGTGGGAAGGGAGAAGTGTTAGTAGACCGGCGGGGCAGCAGTACAATTTTATGGTTCGCATGGTTAAAAAATTGGAATATAAGAATAGCTGTTTTGTACTTTGACGACCAATTATGCTGTATTTTAACACAATGTATGTCTGTTTTGTGGTGCTCTAGTGGTAAATAAATTATTTCAGTCCTATATTGCTGTGCGTGTCCTATCCTAGTGCTGCCTTTGAGTCTAGAAAATTCCAGTGACACAGTGATAATATTCCCCAGCTGGAATTTGGGAAACACAGTCACCCTTACACAGTTCTTCGTAAGGATCTTGCCCCCAGTAGTGTCACACTGTGGCTCAGGAACCAGGACATGTCTGTGAAGGACTGAAGAAAGCCCTGGGCAGCATTTATTCTCTTGCTTATTGCTCTTTGGTAATTATTTGAGATTTAGTTTCCATCCAGCTTGACCGTTTACCAGAAAAAATGCAGAGAGATATTTGCACTATGATTTGGCTTTCTGGTTCTATGTTCTGCCAACCCCAGAGCCAAAAGAACTGGTCTAGACAGTATCCCCTGTAGTCCCAGAACTTAGAGAGTGGCGGGCCGGCCAGATATAACAACAGCTCTTCAGAATTGCTTGTTTGGAAGCAGCTACTCTGGGTTTTACCAGCATCACTGTACACATGAGCACACCCACACGTGCGCGTGTGCACACAGACACACGCACACCATTCCTTCAGACTGCCTTGGCTGTTAGCTAAAAAGTGAGCTGCCAGTATGTTAATAAATAGAACCTAATAAAAAGAAAAGTAGTTGCAACCCAATCAGTTTTTTGCTTGTATCTCATGAACTAGTTTCTGTCTGATGTGTTGTCTGAACATCACGTAGGCACAGACTGTCAATTTGATTGTCAAAGTAGAGTAGAAAATAGTTTCCTTGTCTCCAGTCTTGTTTGTCTTTGATCTTTTGTACACACCTCAGACAGAGGACTAGCACCGCCCTTAACTTAATTCCCATTCCACGCAGAGCACATAGCGCCGGGCCCACTCTCCCAGCTTACATGGGGTTCAGCTGGTGCAGGAAAATGGAAGACGACAAGAAAGGGCCACCTAACAGCTCTGGGAAATTTTCGACTTCGGGAAAATTTTCAGACACTCCATTTCTTTATGTTTTGTTGTGGTTGTTGCTGTTTTATACAGTTAATAGATAAATTTTAAATTACACGTCTCACTTTTTTTTTGATTAGTACAGATTTACACTACATACATTTTACTGTCATCTTGGGAAGTGGGTACATGTGCATAATACAGCTTGTTTCTTATAAATAAATAATAATATGGCTCACTTTTTTGGCTTGAGTTCTGCTTCTGTTAGCTCTGGAGTGGAATTAAAAAGCAGCTCTGTTTAGAAATAAAGGCTAAGCTATTCTCATAAGCTCTATTGCTAGCCTTTTTTCTTTTGATATTTAACATATGATTGAACAGTATGAGGTCATATCCCACAGAAATGCTATTTTTGCAGTCAACATTAGTTGCATCTTAGCAGTTGAGTAGGGTTGAACCTCACAGATGGTGCAGAGGGATAAAGGTAGCCAAGGGAACAGGAGGATGGTGTGAGCCTCCTTGACAAAGATAATGAAATGGGTGGTTTCCTACAAGCAAGGCTGCTCAGTGGGACAGGGAGACCCCATCTTAGGCAAGATGAATGACTGTATCCGATCCCAGGCAAGCTGGGCTACTGTGTCCTGACTCACAGAGAATTCTCATGGAGTCACTATCTTAAAATGACACTGACTTTCTCTCTGGATCTAAGCTGTGCTGTGCTCCTCTGCTAATTTCCCCGGAGGGGTGGATCCAAGATGTTTATTCCTAAAACAAACATGGGGTGGGGCTATTTAAAGTAATTTTAAAAATACAGAGTCTCAGGGCCCATAAAAATAAAGTCAGGACATGTAAATTTTAGAAGCCTCCAACAAATCTGTCTCTGGACTCTGGCTAACTAAAATCTTGTTTCTATCAAATACTGGGACTTTGCAGTTTTAGCAAAAACTAGACCCTCACTCATCTACTGAATTGGTTTCTCTGTTCTCCAGCCCTTCTCTTGTCTTTGCAAAAGATTCTATGTACTGAACAAAGAGAAACAAGACCCTGCTTTTACTAACACTTCAGGTCAGAGGCAATTGAGAAAACATTTTAAAACAACTCTTGTATGTAATAACTAGATCCTGTGAGACTGGAGAAATCATTGGTACACATATTATGTCATGGTACCCATATATCTGGAATTGCCAAGGAAAGCTTTTAATTATCTTTTTTTTAAAGGAAATTATTGCTTTAGGGTTTTTTTTTTTCTTCCTGATTGAGTCTTTAATTCCCTGAAATACTTTATAGCTGCTTTCTTTATTTCATCAAGTAATGGCTGTTTGGAGAAGAGTGCAGTGCGTTCCTGTAGAGACCTAGTAAAAGGAACAGAATGTACTTTGTTCTGTGTGATCCAAACTATGAAAATCATTCAGCCTAAGAGGGCAGACATAATTAAACAGAAAAGAAAAAAAGTGGTAAAGAAAATGGCCCAGTGTAACATCTCAGGTTTCCCCTCAGTGTAGGGGTTTCTGTCCTGCCAAGGCCAGCCTAACTGCAGGCACACAGACGTGTCAGTCAGGCGACATCACGAGGGTCAGGCCCACTCTAGAGGTGGAAACCCTCTGTCAGGCCCGTCCTCCATGCCGAAGCATATAGAAAGCCCCAAACCTCAGGGAGCTGGGAGCAAACAGACTAAGAAGTTATGCAACCCAATACTGCTCCAAAGGCTACGTGAAGTCATACGGTTTGGCCGGCCCTCAAGTATGGGTGTAACAGTAATTTCTTCATCTGAGACAAAATTAAACAGTACAGAAAACCAAGTAGGACTTTAGATCACGTGGTGTTGGTTCATTCAAGGAAGTATCAAATTCCACACCACCACCTCTTCACTCTGCCCTTTCTGTGCGCTTGCCTGCTGTTTTCAGAGTCCCACAAAGGGAAATAGAAGCTTCTCTTAGAGCCCAGAGGAGCCCCAGGGATGCCGCCAACCTTCTGAATGGTGCCTCCCTGCTGCTAGCTCTGCAAATCAGTGTCCCTGTAAGGTGTTTTACCCATGGAGACACAAATATTCACGTAGAAACATGCGTAGGATTACAAATGTATGTTACATATGCATGCATGTGTAACTTTTAGCATCCTCACTGGTGTAACATAAGCAGTAATTCTAACCCAAGGTTTATAAGTAGTAAGAGCAAGGCCTAACTCAGGGCAAGATGCAAGTGAATAAGTGGAAGGGACAAAGAGGAAAGGGCAAGAGACACTGACCCCGAGCTGAGGCCTATGCCTTCATCTGGACTTTGATAGCAACTAAACAGGCGCAGAGGAGAAAACAAGAAACCCATCACCCAGGCTTCGCTTCCAACGAAGACTCCAGCCAGCACCTCCGCTGGGCTGCTGTCCGTCAGGAGGAGGCTGCAAGGGCTCCATGCGAGGGCTGCATGGACAAGACACCTAGACAGAGCGGCTCCTGATCCTGGCTCCGTTTCCCTGTGTGGGATGTTGACCCCTCACATCTGCTCCTTCCCGACAGTGAGCATTTTCTGTCCTGGATGACTCCTCACTTTACTCGTGTCCCCAGAGCCTACTGAAGAAATATTCCCTACCTGAAGGAAGAGCACAGGGGGCACTGCAGTCCGACTCTGCCGCTGAGCAGTAGGCAGGGATCCCAGGGAAATGCACGGACGTCTCAGTGCCTCCTTCAGAGAACACAGCTTTGGACTAAGGGGCCCGAACAGACTTTGCCATTGCTGTTTTGTTCTTCCTGATTCTTTCCATAAGTTGTCCTCTGTTTTTCTGGAATTGTGCAGTGAGCAGAAAGCATCTCTTCGTTCATTCATTCAACAGATAATTACTGAGCATATATTGAGAAATTAAGGAAATAGAAGCTCCTAAACCTTACGAAAGTTGTGAGACATCGATCCCCTTCTTATAAAATCCCCTTTCTCATAAAAAGCCACTGCCTGCGATCGCCCTTGTCCTTCTTGTGAAACTTTTATCTACTTTTCAAAAAGAAAACAAACGTACAGTATTTTCCCTGTCTCAGATTGGACCTGGGGTGGGAGAGAGGTGAACATTTCATTCGCCCGTCTTCGGATCAGGATGAGTATCTAGGGAAACCTCTCTGAGGAGTCTCCCCTGGGTGTCATCCACACCTGCATCTTGTTTAGATGACACAGTCCCTGTCTAAAGCCAATGACATACGATATGGAGGTCTTGGCAGGAGAGCTGTTTGTGGCATGTGGGAACAAAATGAATTATTGCAGTCACAGGGAAGCCACTGGAGGATTATGTTTTCCAAACACGGCTGCCATGACAAGTGCACCCCATATGTCCACCTTGCGTCGTGAAGTTGATACCTCCCCTGCATGTATGAGCTCTGATGGTCTCCTTTGACCTGCCTGGGCTGGAGACTACAGCAGAAGAGACGCCACATGATATCTAAGGTCAGGGCAGAAGAGATCGTGTAGTTGTTCTGGGTTCTCTGGGGAAGCTCATTCTTGGAAATCAGCTGCTGTTCTGAAGGGATGCCCAAGCCACATGAACAAGTCATGCCTCAGCGTTGCAGCCCACACCCCCGGTGGAGATCTGTCGGCATCCACCGCCCTGCTGGACAAGTAGATAGGAAGGATTCCGATGACTCTGGTTCCAGCCACCGAGCTCCACAGACTGCTTGTTGGTCATTAAGCAAGAGCTGCTTAGCTGAGCTCAGCCACAGAAGGTACCGATCATAGCAGTTACGGCTGTTTTAAGCCATGTTTGGGGTGAATGCTTATAAGATAATGATAGCTGAAACAATTACTAGTTTTGTTTTTGAAAAGATCAAGAAGTTAGTTTATGATTTGTTATTAATTAGACTGTGAAAATAGATGATTTTTGATGGTCCCTCTTAGGTGAATTTAGTCATTCAGCAACTTCTTATATGACCAGGAACTGTGCTGTTGAAGAGTCAGAGATAAGAAATCCACAGTGTCTGTCCACAGGCACCTCGTGGACTGCTGAGAGAGATAAATATATAAATATATTAAAATGTCATCTGAAAGACAAAAGCGATGAATTAGTAAAATATTTACTGAGCACCCACGTCATGATAGGGAGTTCATAGATACTGAGAATATCTGGGACAGACATTGGGAAGA